AAGAAGGCAGATCTCTGTGAGTCTGAGGTTAGCCTGGTCTACACAGCGAGTTCCAGGCCAATAAGGGCTATACATAGTGAGAACTTGTCTCAAAAAACAACTGAACAAATAAAAGTCTCCCTTTATTGGGGGGGGGGTAGGTTTTTTGAGACAGGATTTCTCTGTGTAGTTTTGGAGCCTGTCTTGGAACTCGCCCTGTAGACCAAGCTTCCTCAAACTCAGAGAGATCCGCCTGCCTCTGCTTCCCAGTGCTAGGATTAAAAGTGCCCGCTGCCACCACCCGGAAGAAGTCTCCTTTCTCGTTTAACATCAGTTTGATTGCTTTCATGGTTCTGAGGGTCAGAGATTGAACTACTTGTGCTATATATATTCCAAGCCTTAGGTTGGCACCCTCCTTCTTTAGATGCCCAGCTCCTCTAAGTACCGCCTCAGATAGATGCCCTCAACAAGGTTCTCTCTTGGGACCTTGCTGTGGAGACTCTGAATCCTGCTACCTGGGGTACATGTGGCATGGATGTAAATCAAGGATCAGCATCTTTGAATAAAGCTTGCTTTTCCCAGAGACCCTAAGAGAAGCCTGATGTGTGTCGATTAGTATCTTTCCAAAGAAAACAATCTGACATGGGTTGTTGACCTGCAATGAAGTAAGGAGTCCCCAGTAACCTTATGAAATGTTTTTAATTCTGTTTTGGTGGATTTGTTTAATTTTTCAGACAGGGTCTTACTACTTAGATAGGCTTAGATCTTGTTACTTGTTACATAGACCAGGCTGGCCTCAAACTCTGCCCCTTGAGTGCTGGGACTGAAGGAATGTGCCAACACACCAGGCATTTTTTTTTTATATTTTTGAGACAAGGTCTCATATAGCTCAGGCTATCCTCACATTCACTACATAGCTGAGGCTAGCCTTGAACTCCCGCTAACCTTCAGAAATGGCTTTGGCTGTGCTTCACCCCAATCAGAGAAGCTGGAGCTACTAGAACTGGGCCTGTATGTTAAGCTTCTTGTTGAACCCTTCCCCCCCCCCACACACACACTCCTGTTTCCTTTGATGAAGGAATTGCTCTATTGCTCAGCTGGTGTTAGACTCTTGAATTCAGGGGTTTTCCCCTCAAGCCTCAAGTCCTGGGACTAGAGCTGTGTGCCACCACTCCTGACCATGGCTCTTTCTACAGGCTATCCACTTCATCTCCACCTGTGCTCAGGAACTCGGCTTCATGGACAAAGTCTGTGTCCGTCCAGTTTATGGCAGGGTTATTATTTCAGTCTAACCTCGCGTACCCCAGGCTGTCTGCCTCCCCAATGAGCACATGCCTGAGCTGCTTTGAGATCTGCAGCAGAAAATCTGGCTTAGGCATCCACCTGAACACGGAACTTCACTGACCTCAGACTTCTAATTTAAACACATTCTAACTTTGGGGGGGGGGGACACCATTCTAGATTCCTCAGCTTCTAAAGTGTTATAGTAAAACTCTTTGATGTCAAGATCCTATGACTGTGGACTCTGAATCCAAAGTTTCAAACCTTTTTTTGTGTTTAATGAATTTTGTGGTAGACATGGTAACAGCAGCCAGTGCCCCTTGGCCTGGGGTTTTGTGTTTGTTTTCTATAAGTTTTGTCTCAACTCTGGGGTTTCTTCTGTGCCTTCCACCAAAGGCAGAAGAAGGAGATGACTAGAAAAAGAGGGGGGAATTTCCATTCTTCCTGGGCCACAGGACAATCCACGCAAAACCCGGCACTGGGTTCACCCACCCTATCTCCCTCAAGCCCTTTATCTAAGCTCCGGAGCTTGAGAAGAAACAATCTCCCTGGCCTGTGCCAGAGTCCAGTGGGAGTTTAGCGGGGAACTGACTGATGTTGCCGAATGGGTAACGGGAGGGAGGGTTAAGCCAGGCAAGGATCCAGGGAAGGGAACACAGAGATTCCCTTGGGAGCTCTATAGCCTTCCCCAGAGATGAGGAAGGAACAGAGACCGGAAGTGGGGGTGTGGGTAAGGGCACTTAAGGGTGGAGTGACCAGTATTGTATTGTGGGCCTGGAACTGGGTTTCCGGTGATTGACCCGCTAGTTACAAGGGAACTCCAGTCTCGTGCCCCAGGGATTGTCTGGTTCAGTCAGACCCTATCCTTTGACTGTTCACCTCCTGCCTGAGTCAGACTCCCAGAAAAACTTAACGGAACCTGATCTCAAAAAGCCCCTTCCTGTGGGGGCTCTCTGGCCAAGAAAGAAGGGAACCAGGACCGGTAAAGCATCACACTAGGGGTTAGGGCAAAACAGGGGTGCTTCCAGTCCGGGACTATTCCTACCTTCCGAAAGATCTCAAAATGTTCCCTGAACTTCATTGTTTCTGAAGAGGATGGCGTGCCCCAGGCCACTTCCCCGGAGCAATCTGGACATCCCCCCCACACACACACACACACACCTCCAGCCCTTTCTTCGGCAGAACAGTTCAGCACAGGGCTGAAGCTGCCAAACCCGATTTTCCGGTGGCTGCCCAAGGCTAGCTAAAGCAGGAAGCCCTCCTCCTGGCATGTACCCCTCAGGCTACCGTTCTCCTCCCCCTCACCTGATTCCCTGCCTGGGCTGTGCCTTCTGCACCTGTGCCAGCTGTCCCAGTGTGCCACCACTTCCTCCTCCACCTGCTTCCCATCTCCCTTGGGCTGCTTCCCCAGCACCATAAGGTGTGGGCCAGTGCTACCGCCCCCTTTGGGCTTCGGTCTTCCCAACTCCAGATGGAGAACAGAGGCCTTCCCACAGAGCAGCTCGGGGAGGGGTCCGAAAGTGGATGTGTCTAGCAGAGGGCCCTGCGTTTGCTTGGTGGGTGGGTGTGGGGTTGGGAACACCACAGCGAGGGTATGAGCAGGAAGCGCTGCTTGTGGAAATCTCTAGGTGGAATTGCGGGAGTGAAGGGTGCTTCCTCTGGGTTCCTTATGTTAGCTAACCTGTGGGAGATGGAAGAGAATCCTTGAAGCTGCCAGGTTCCCAGAGTCCTGCCTCCCATGGAGGAAGACCTCTCATTGTCTTCACCCACATCATCTCCAGAACTAGCAACTCCCTTAGACCCAGCAAGTGCTACTGAGTCAGAGCTGCAGACTGCAGGCCCCTGCTCCAGGTTGCCCCTTCCTCTAGTCCGGGAATCATCTCTGTGTTCTCGGCCTCCAAAGAACTCCAGAGGGGCGAAAGAGTGAGCTGCACCCAATCATCCAGAAGGGCAACCTAAACTGAAGGAGTGGGTACCTCTCTCTGGCTGTTTGCTTTCTCTGAGAGCCCAGAAAGGAAGGAGAACTGGGAACCTGGAGGAGGAGGGGTAATGGAGAAGTCATTGCGGATGGGGCTAAAAATAGCTTAAAGAGATGATGTCATCGAGTTTCCTCTGCTTATCACCCCCCTCATACACATACACAGAAACACATGCACACACTCAGAGACACAGAGACATAAGCAAAGGCACATATGCACGCACTGCACACAGCGATGTTGGGGAGGGAGGCATTGGGCCTCAGGGCTGCAAGGATAGGGAAGGCTGGTGAGTGTGTCTACGTGTATCTGAGTTTGCATGAGTATGATAGCATGTGTCTGTGTTTATATGCTTGTGTTCTTGTGTCTGGGTGCATGTATGTTTGTGTCTGTGTATGGGCATGTCTCCTGCAAGGGGGTGGGTTGGTACCTATTGCGTTCTTATCAGTGCTGATCTCTGTTTATAGCATATGCCTGAATACATGCGTTCATTTGCTAATTATGTTGTATGTACATGAATCCACTTATAGTTACATGACTACATTTGTTTGTCATGTGTTTGTTTGTTATGTGCAGACCCATTATGGGCCTTGGACACCAGTCCAGTCCTTTTCTAGGTGCAATTAATGTCCACACCAAGTAGCCCAGCACTCTCTGGACCCAGCATAACTGTGAATTATCTGCCCTAGCCCTCCCCTCAGGATCCCATGCTCTGGTAGGCTTATTGTAGATGAACATAATTCATTCCTCTTATGAGAGGAAAATGATATTAGCCAGACTTCTTAAAGCCCAGAGGACAGGCCACCAAAAGTCTTAGGAATTTCTCCTGCTCCCCAGTCCTCACGCTAGCCCATGCACAAATCCACTCATTAGAGACAAAGACACTCACAATGCTACTGCACAACCCCACAGAAACACACCCCACAGAAACCTAGTTAAACCCTATGATACATGGGCACACACTCAGAAATCCAAATGGAAAATCCCCAGGCCAGACAGAGTGCAACACCCTCCCCTGTTCCTGGGCTCAAACTCAGTCTTGCTCCGCCCCCAAGTGCCCCAGCTCAGCTGGCAGTCCTGGAAAACGCTGACCTCAGAGGATGGCTGGGGGCTGAAGGTGACACGTCCTCCTACACTAACCATTCTGCACCCCCTCCCTCCCGCAGGCGGCCCCCTCCCCCTTCTGACCTTCATTCTTAGCTGAGCCAACACGGCTTTGGTTTGCCTCTGCCCTAGCAGGCGGTCCTTGACTCTCGCAGCTGACAGCAGAGGCACGTTCAGTCACAAAGGCGTATCTAGTCACATGTGCCTCAGTGTTCCCATTCTCTTGTCACACACAGTGACACACACACACACACTGACCAGCACCAGCATACCTCATGCTAGAGCACTTGTGGGGTTCTGTCTTTCAATCGGTCTCTCTCTTATCTGTGCCTTCTTGTTCTTTCCAAGACGCCTTGTACCCATGGGAGTGTAAGGCAGGACAGCCCCTTACCTCACAAGGCAGATCAAAATGCTGAAGACAAAGATGGGTTTGTCTGGCTGACCTTGTCCTGTCCTCCCACTGTCTAACTGTGGTCCACACGTGCTGGCTCAGAAGCTCGTGCCTAAGTGTCTCCAGCCCTGCCCCTGCCCTCCTGTCCTGCATGGTTGGAACACTTCGGATGGAGAAAGACAGCCTAAGCAGAATGATTGTATTTGCTGTTTACCACCAACAGCCCTCTGGAAGAGCAGGTCCAGTGCAAGCCAAGCTTCTGGGCATTTCTAGAGGATCAGAAAGCCCCCAGGTTGACAGAGGTGTCTGAGTACTGGAGAGAGAAAGGAGAAGGAAGAATATTCAGAAAAAGAAAAAGAAAAAAGGCAGTTGTGCAGGCTGGGGGAGGTAACTCAGTGAAGCCCTAGTTTTCTCAGGACCTGACGTCAATCCCAGGATCCAGGTAAAGGCTGAGCATGGTAGCACATGCTTATAATCCCAGCCTTGGGGAGGCAGAGACACAGAGATTCCTGCTGTTGGACAGTCAGCCATCCTAGCCTACTTGACACATTCCAGGCTGCTGAGAGGCCCTGTCTCCTAAAAAGGTGCGTGGCAGCCAAGGTTGTTCTTCGGCCTATAGGTGCAGGCATACACACACGTGCATACATGTGTACATGCACACACAAAGAAAATAGGCATGTGTGAGAATCCCATAGCTCCCCCCGCCTCCCCCAAGCTCTCTGTTTCACAGCCATATCGTTTTGCATTAAGGCTCTCAGCATTTGGTAACTTCAAGACGCTGCCTTGGGTGGAATTTCACAAATTGCCCTTTAGAGCACGTAAGCAACAGATACTTCTGGTTTTCAAATCACTGATCCCCCAGCCCAGACCCCCCCCACCAACCTTGAGGTGAGAGGATCCACACACTGGTGGAAGCAGCGTTGTTGGTGTCATTGATGTTTGTGGCCATAGTGGCAAGATGGGTGGTAGCTAGGCCTCGGGGTTTCTGCCGGTATGTTCTGCGGCTATACTTGAACATCCTGGAACACTTGCGCCGGGACCCACCCATACCTGGCCTTCTGTATGGGGAACTCATGCCCCGAGGCCTAGGGGCACGGACAAGCTGAGAGGGCCCCATGACAGCAAAGAGCTTCTGAGGGGTTCTGTTGACCAGGCAACTGAGGTCTCTGTGACATATGGAGCCTGCCTGAGGGTGGTGCTCTGTGTCACAGGTTCGTCCCCTCCCCCACCCAGACGTAGCTCAGACTTCCTCACAGTCCTCTTCATGGAGAGTAGCCCAAAAGCCAGACAACCACAGTTTGATCCCTTAGGGAAAAGAACTCTGGTGGGGGTGGGGGAAATCACTCGGCTATTTTCCTTCATCCACGTTAATAATACTAACAATGTATTGAGCACCTACTGTGTGCCAGATACTAAGCTTAGTGTTTCACAAACTTGCTTTCATTGACTCCACCACAGCCGTGTGAGGAGACACTATCAATAATCTTATTTATAGAAGTTAATTATCATGCTTCCCAGTAGTTAGAGGTTTAGAAAGTCATTGTAAACACTGAATTAACAGATACTGAAACTGGGTGTACTAGTACAGTCCTTTGATCCCAGCACATGGGAAACAGAGGCAGGAGGATCTCTGAGAGTCTAAGGCCAGGCTGGTGTACACAGAGCAGCAGTTCTCAACCTGTGAGTGGAGACCCCTTTGGGGGTCGAATATCAGATCTCCCGCATTTCACATTAGATTCATAACAGTAGCAAAATTATAGTTATGAAACAGCAATGAAAATAAGGTTATGGTTGGGTCACCACAACATGGAGAACTGTATTAAAGGGTTGCAGCATCAGGAAGTTGGAGAACCATAGAGTTCCAGGTCAGCCTATGAGTATGTAGTGAGACCCTGCCCTCAAATAAACAATAATACTGAATCACTCATTACTTTTTTTAAAAAATATAAAGGGGGTACCTTTATTATTTTCTTACATAACATCTTAATGAATACATGTGCATTTTTCTCAGCTGGCAAATAAGACACACAGCAAAACTTCCCTGTTCTTGGGAAGTCAAGAGCAATCACCTGTCTCTGGGAGGATTTGGTTTCTTACGACAATTGTGATACTGTTCGCGCAGGAACCAATGGTGCTTCGTGGTGGAGAACACCTTGCTGAGTTGTTCTATCCTGGGGCCTTGCTCAAGCCATTTGCTTTTTATTTCTAATTTGGTTTTCAGCATTTGTTCATGTGTCTCTTCATTATTATGCAAAATGTCTGGGTGAGGGATAGGTTTTGTGTGTTCATACGGGATGTCCATAGAAGGGTGGTAGCACACTATTGTCCGCCATCGGATGTCAAAGAGAGCTCTAGCTTGTAGTCATCTGGAAGAGAAGAATGTGTAGATTTACAACAAACACTAGATAAGGCTCCATTTTGGATTGGAAATAAATGTTTCCAGACAGTTCTGCTTGACGTCACCCATTTTACTGCTGCAGCCATGATCTTTATAAGGTGACATGAAAAAAAAATTGTGAGGCGAAATCGCTTCTCAAATCTGTTTCTAGGCACAGAGGCTTTCATTCCATGGGCCCGCCATCTTGCTTCAATCCCACTCCTTACTTCTAAGAGCTGCACAGGTTCCTGTGACTCCTGGTCCATAATATTTTTGCCAGACTCTCAATGCATCATCTGTTTTTAGGTCTAGAGGCTATTTATTTGTTCCTTTTTGTTGTTGTTTTTTGTTGATGTCTTTTACTTTTTTGTTTTGTTTTGATTTTTCAAGACAGGGTTTCTCTGTGCACCCCTGGCTCTCCTGGAACTCACTCTATAGATCAGGCTGGCCTTGAATTTACAGAGATCCACCTGGCTTTGCCTCTGGAATGCTAGGATTAAAGGTGTGCGCCACAACCACCTGGCTATTGTTGCTTTGTAGCCTAGACTGGCCCAGAACCTGCTATAGCAATCCTCCTGCCTTAGCCTCCCAAGAGCTAGAAGTAATGAACCATTATCCTCCAATGAGTCACTTTATGTAATATGTAGTGTTGAGTCTTCAACACTCAACTCATGAGCAACAGCAATGTAACTGTCTGAATCAAGGTTAGCTAAACAAAGCTGAACCGGTAGTACAAGCCTCTAATCCTGGGAGGTCAGGTAGGCCAGGTATCTAACACATCTAGCAAATGCATATCCTTTAGAGTATATCTCCACTCTTTTGTGCAGAGGAATACTAGGTAATAGTAGCTCAGCACCACGAGGGCCACTTGGGCCAGCAACATCATTAATGACATAATAGTCATCCAAAAAAAAAAAAAAAAAAGAAAAGAAACTAAAACATTTGAATAAAAAATACTGGTAGTAACTAGACTGCTGGGCAAACACTGGTTTGTAAGAGCTAGAGCATGTTTCTGGGGGCAGAGGATCCCTCCTACTCAACACGCCTCTGCTGGACACATGTGTCAGGCACCCAGGACTCTTACCTCGATGTACCTCCTCTGAATAACTGTGAAAGCGATGTAAGACCTGGTCTCGTGGTCACAAATGGACGTGGTGACCAGGTGAATTCACAGATATGGAATCTGAATGATGAAGACTGGCCATAGAAGGAAACCACCTTGGTGAGGTATAGTCATCGAATCAGAGGCAGCTAGCTGGGGGTGCAGATCCGCTAGCTGCCAGATCCAGAGCCCAGGGCACTCACCTTTTGCTATCCTACGCTTGTTTATGTGTTTATCCAGGATATTCCATAACAACCAGGGACATGGAGGGATGTGAACTCCCAGAGCTCTTCCTGAGATGGGAAAGAAAGCCCTGTGGAAAGAGGGGTAAGAGATGTTAACCCTGGCTTCACCTGTTTTTGTAGGAAACAGACAGGAAAGTTAGGTCTTCCAGGCCTTGCGCTAAGGGGAACTTTGGATTTGCTCATTTCTCCACACCTTAACCCCGACCCCCTAGTCTTCCAGGAACTTCAGGTCCCAGATTGTGGGGCCTCACCAGCCCCCACTTTGCTTTCTTTAACTTTTAGCCTCTGTACCTATGAGCCCTTGGCCCCTATTCAAACGCCTTTGCCTCCTGAGAGCTGGGATAACAGGCACGAACTACCAAACTCAGTCCATTTGTTTAAATTTTGAGATAGAATCTCACTATCTTTTTCCCAGAAGGGTTTTTAACTTGTAGGACCAAGAGATCCTCTTATCTTAGCCTCCAGAGTATCTGGGAATATAAGAATGGCCCCCTGGCTTATTATCTGCAATGCTATTATCCCCTCCTCTCTGTCTCTACAGCTGTCTCCTTCCTCACAAACACAGCAAACTAAAAAATCCACTTGCAGGCTGGGGAGGTGACTTGGCAGCTAAAAATGCTTACTACTATTGCAGAAGACCCCTTAGTTCCCAGCATCCACACTGCTTAGATCCAACCATCGGTAACTCCAGCTCCAGGGAGTCTAAGGCTGTTTTCTTCTGACCTTTGCAGGCACCACGCACGTGAACACACACACACACACACACACACACACACACACACACACACACACACTTACTTCCTTGGCTTTTGTAGAAGATAGAAATCCCCCCAATATGGGAGGCAGAGGTAGACGGAGGACCACAGCTGAAGCTACAGAGTGCTTCCTAAGCAAGCCAAAGTTACATAGTGACACCCTTTCTCAAGAACACACGTCAGGGGATGTAGCTCAAGTGGTGAAGCGTTTGTCTAGTGTGTGCAAAGTCCTGGACCCAGTCTCCAGCAACACACACACACACTTTACCACCACCACCGTCTGTCACCTAAATCCATCCCACAATCCCTCTAGCAGTGCTCTCTGTTCTGACCTCTTGGTGCTCATTGCTCTGTGCCCCAGAGCAGGGAGAAAAACTTACTATATTCCTCATAACTATTCTCTTTTTTAAAAAAAAATATTTATTTATTTATTTATTTATTTATTTATTTATTTATTTATTTATTATGTATATAATATTCTGTCTGTGTGTATGCCTGCAGGCCAGAAGAGGGCACCAGACCTCATTACAGATGCTTGTGAGCCACCATGTGGTTGCTGGGAATTGAACTCAGGACCTTTGGAAGAGCAGGCAATGCTCTTAACTGCTGAGCCATCTCTCCAGCCCATAACTATTCTCTTATACAGACTAGGAAACAAAGACCGAAAAACAAATCTCAGAGATGACCAAATAGCAGGATGGGTGTGCACGCCTGTAACCCTCGCACTAGGGATTCTGAGTCAGAAAGACCAAGAACTCAAGTTAGCTGGGTGTGGTGGTTCACACCTGCAATCCTAGCACTTGGAAGACTGAGGCAGGAGGATTGCCTTAAGTTTGAGGCCAGTCTGGTCTATAGAGTGAGATATCTTCTCAAAATAAATCCAGATTTGGTGACTCACACCTATGAACCCAGCACTCTGTAGGCAAAAGCAGGCAGGTTTCTGAGTTCAAAGCCAGCCTGGTCCACACCAGGAGCTCCAGGACAGCCAGGGTTATATAGACCCAGTTACAAAAATTGAAAAATAAATCAATAGGGGCTGGAGAGATGGCTCAGCAATTAAGAGCACGGGCTGCTCTTCCAGAGAGGACGCAGGTTTGATTCCCAGCACTCACATGGAGAGTCATAACTGTCTGTAATTCCTGTTCTAGGGATCTGAAGCCCTTTTCTAGCCTCTGCACATAGTACACAGATGTACATGTTCACAAAACACTCAAGCAAATACAATTTTTTAAAAATATTTATTTATTTTTTATGTATACAATATTCTGGCTGTGTGCATGTCTGCAGGCCAGAAGAGGGCGCCAGACCTCATTACAGATGGTTGTGAGCCACCATGTGGTGGCCCACCATGTGGTGGCCGGGAATTGAACTCAGGACCTTTGGAAGAGCAGGCAATGCTATTAACCACTGAGCCATCTCTCCAGCCCCCAGTAAATACAATTTAAACTAAAAAGTAAATAAGTAGCCGGGCGGTGGTGGCGCACGCCTTTAATCCCAGCACTCGGGAGGCAGAGGCAGGCAGATCTCTGTGAGTTCGAGACCAGCCTGTCTACAAGAGCAAGTTCCAGGACAGGATCCAAAACCATAGAGAAACCCTGTCTCGANAAAAAAAAAAAAAAAAAAAAAAAAAAAAAAAAA